GTTTTTTTTTTTTTTTGGGGGGGGTAAGATAAATATTGGGTCTGAAATAGCCCAAATATAATTTCTTCATAATTCATTGTTTTATGGCAAGAACACTAAAGCCAAGAAATGGTTAAATCCAGGGCTTTGAACTGATTCAATCATGGCTAATGAAGCAAAATTGGAACAGACTTGAATTTTTAAAATTTTGGTGAAGCAGAACGACAACTGGAATGGGAAAAATTAAGAATCAAAGTCCTAGAATGGGAGACTTGGAAGAGGCGTAGTGAGCCTTTTCAGGAGCCTGCTGCAGGAGACTGGATTATTTCAGGACCGTGGAGAGTGATATACATTCAAAATGGAGTGGTTGGCTGCCATCTTTGAGTGGGGCAACCCTTGTTTCCAACTGTGCTAGCCAAGAGGTTTGGTTGCTATGGAACGCACATGCTGCCCTTGTTTTCTAAGTTTCTAGCAGAGCACTGACCTATAATTTTTCCCATCCCAGTAACTGTCCTGGTTCATCCACATTTTACAAATTCAGGTCATCAACCGTGACTGAACTGGGAAGAACCAGTATAAACCCCTGGTTAAACAGCAGCAGTTATCCCAGTATTCCTCCCTTCTCGTGCAATGTTTTTTTCCATATACAAACGTTTGGTTTCACTTTTCTTTCTTTCATGCATTGGCCAACAAAAGGTACCATCTTTCTTAAGCTACCACATTATTCACTTGTAAAAATTCAAAGGTAGAATTATGTCTGGAGGGGTAACTTCCAGTAATTTCTTGGCTTTCCCTTATTATAAGATAAAATTTTGTTTCAGAATATAAACGAGCCTACTTTTTCTCATAAAATTGCTTAATTTCTTCCCACACATAATGGTAATAAATTCTTTAATGGGAAGCTATTGAAAACCACACATCTTAGTTTTAGAAGCCTGATGTAAAGTCTAGCATATCTTAAGAAATTTGAGTGTAGTTTGATAGCTGTTTCCATGGCGTTCTCTAGAAATATGACTTGCTCAGCACTTCAACTCTAAAGAAAAACCATAAAAAAAGGACCCCAAAGCATAAAACTAGACTGGAAAGGCACCCAAAGCACATTAAAAAAAAAAAAAAAAAGAAAAAAGAAAGAAAAGCTAGACTGGAAAGGAATGATGGACATGAGAAAAATAGAGAAAATGACAAACTTACAGATGAGTAACAGGTTTTTCAGGCATAGCTAACCGTTTAATTACTTTTCTGTTACAGATTTAGCCCTCAATTTCCTTCTTAAGGAAACTGGTATACACTAGTAGGAGCCTTGGTGGCCTGGTGGTAAAGTGCCTGGCTGCTAACTGAAAGGTCAGCAGTTCAAATCCACCAGCTGTTCCACAAGAGAAAAATGTATCAGTCTGCTTTGTAAAGACTGACAGACTTGAAAACCCTATGGGGCAATTCTATCATGTCTTGTAGGGTTGCCATGAGTCATGAGTCAGAATTGACTCAACAGTAAAGGGTTTTTTTCCTCCTGTTTTGTTTGCTACTTTGTGCCAAGTTCGAAATGGTAAACTGCTTCCTAGATCTTCCTGAAATCTACTCAATTTATCTTCCCACTCAGACTTAACTGCTGAACTTCATACTCATATTTTCAACCAACTCACATCCAAAGTTACTTAAAAAGAAAGGGTATGTTTCCCTTTTATTAGATAAAAGGAAGTCAAGTCTCCAATATAATGCAGGGTACAGGGTTCTATAACTGTATTATCATCCCAGCTGAAGAAATAATGGTTGCCTGGTGTTTGCTCTCCAGTAAAAGGATAATAGTTCACTAAGCTTTGTTATTTATTAGTGGAATTATAAGATTCCAAACAATTGCATCCATCATCATAAGGACAGTGAGATCCAAGAACCATATTACTCCTTGTCAAATGTATACTTGGGAATTCATGATAAAAAGATCAGGGCTGGAAACTTTATTTGCTTGGCAGTCCTAAGAGAAGTAGGAAGCATCTATATTAGCAGCTCAAACTGACAAAACCATTAACTAAGACTTTAATAATCCTCCACTAATTTTTTTAAATAAGTGGCAAAAGTTCTAAAAATACTTTTCTTCCCAATTGTAAGTCAATAAATGATTTCTTTAATATACATAAAAGAAATAAATCAAGCAACTTCCTATCTTTAACTGGCAGCCTCAGTATAAAATCACAGTTGTAGGAATGTTAAACTGCTTACTCATATAGAGTTGAAGATTTTTGCTTTGGGTTTGTTTCGCTCGTCTTCTTATTCTGGACATCTTCTTTATTTTGCAGTTGCTCTTTTTTATAGTAGTAAGCTTCAAACTCTTCTATGTCTTTCCGAAGATGCTCAGGCACAGCAAATGGGCCTGAGGAACTTGAACTGCCTCTGCTGATGAAAAGTACCAATTTGTGAATAACAAGCTTTTGGGTGAACCAGAAGAAACACAAAGATGGTAACTATTATTCAGCATATTGGGTTGCTATGAGTTGGAATCGACTTGATGGCATGGGTTTTTCATTATTCAGCAATATGATGCAAAACAAAACAAAAAACTTACTATAAACTTAATGCAGAAAAGTTACCCTTCCACAGTCAAGAGAAATTATACTTAATATTCTAAATAAGCATTTTTAATTATTTATTTTTCCTATCAAGAGCAAATAATAATAATAATAAAAAAAACTTCTAGTTTTAAAAACTGTTATGTTAGGCACAGGAGGTAAATACATTCCTTGGAGAAAACAATCATGGGAGAAAGAAGGGTTGTTTATGCACACGAAGACAGCTCAAGGGGCAGGGGTGCATGGAGGGATGGACACAGGGAAGAGGTGACTGTCAGGAGGAAGAGGGAGGGGGGCTGTTGCATTCTGGCGAATTGTGGTCAATGTCACGAGACAAAGTGCATGTGAACTGCTGTATGGAAAGTGAATTTGCTCTGTAAATTTTCACCCAAATCACAATTAAAAACAAATCCAAACTGTTATGTTGCATTAATTATAACTTAGCACAGAGCTGAGAGAAAACCATAATTATAATTGCTATTAATTTAAAGTAAGTTTCAGACTCTGTACCTTAGTTTCCTTATCTGTAAAATGGACACAATAACAGTACTTGTCTCCTAAGGTGGATTAAAGGAGTTAATATATGTAAAGCCCTTAGTGTACGAAAGTACCTAAATAAAAACTACTATTATTTTAATTCTACACAACTCCTAGACTTAAAGAATTTATGAAAGTGACTATAAGTTTTAGCTGCTATAACTGACTTAACAAATAAAGAGAAGAAATATTTTGTGGATTTTGGTCCATAGCAGAAAATGATATAAAAAGATCTCTGATACTCACTAGTTTTATTTCTTTTTTATGTCTGTTTGTTTCATGAACACTCAGTTTCAACAACCAGCTTTCACTGAGTATCACTAACATCTAAGGTTAGACTGTTAAATCATATACAACCTCCACAACACCTTCCTTTCTCCTATTGCAGCAAATATGACAGTAATTATCTACATGGTAATCTCTCCATTGGATATTTTAAATAATACTTCCTAGGGAGCTCTAGTAGCATAGTGGCTAACTTGCCTGCTAACCAGACGGCTGGCAGTTCGAACCCACCAGCCACTCCTCGGAAGGAAGGTTGGGCAATCCTACTTCCGTAGTGATACTGCCTCGGAAACCCAAGGAGGGGTCACTATGAGTCGGGGCCGACTCGATGGCACATAACAACAACAACAACAGGCATTGTTCTAGGATTTTCCCATAGTGCTCTGCCAGGAGATCTGGAAGACAACTACCTGGCCAACTGACTGGAAAAGATCCATATTTGTACCCATTCCAAAGAAAGGTGATTCCACAGAATGTGGAAATTATTGAACAATATCATTAATATCACACATAAGTAAAATCTTACTGAAGACAATTTAAAAATCGTTGTAGCAGTATATTGACAGAGAACTTCCAGAAATGCAAGCTGGATTCAGAAGATGACATGGAATGAGGGCTATCATTGCTGATGTCAGATGGATCTTGGCTCAAAGCAAAGAATATCAGAAGGATGTTTACTTGTATTTTATTGACTAAGTGAAAGCATTTGATTGTGTGGATCATAACAAATTACGGATAACATTGAAAAGAATGGGAATTCCAGAACACTTAATTGTGCTCATGAGGAACTTGTACATAGACCAGGAGGCTGTTGTTCGAACAGAACAAGGGCACATTGCATGGTTTAAAATCAAGAAGGGAGTGCGTCAGGGCTGTATCCCTTCACCATACTTATTCAAACTGTATGCTGAACAAATAATCCAAGAAGCTGGACTATATGAAGAATGTGGCATCAGAATTGGAGGAAGACTCATTAACAACCTACATTATGCAGACAACACAACTTTGCTTGCTGCAAATAAGGATGACTTGAAACACTTACTGATGAAAACTGAAGACCACAGTCTGCAGTATGGATTACACCTCAATATAAAGAAAACAAAAATCCTCACAACTGGACCAATAAGCAGCATCATGACACATGGAGAAAAGACTGAAGTTGTCAAAGACTTCCTATTACTTGCTTCTACAATTAACACCAATGGAAACAGCAGTCAAGATATCAGACATCGTATAGCATTGGGAAAATCTGCTGCAAAGGACCTCTTTCAAGTGCTGAAGAGCAAAGATGTTTCCTTGAAGACTAAGGTGCACTTGACACAAGCAATGGTATTTTCAATTGCCTCATATGCATGTGAGAGCTAGACAATGAAAAAGGCAGACCAAAGAAGAGTCGATGCTTTTGAGTTGTGGTGTTGGTGAAGGATGCTGAAAGTACCATGGACTGCTAAAAGAACTAACAAATCCATCCTGGAAGAAGTGCAGCTGGAATGCTCCTTAGAAACGAGAATTGGCCATTCTTGTCTCACCTACTTTGGTCATGTTGTCAGAAGGAACCATTCTTTGGAGAAGGATATCATGCCTGGCAAAGTGGAGGGACACCGAAAAAGGGGAAGGCCCTCAATGAGCTGGACTGGCACAGTGGCTGCAATGATGGGCTCAGGTATAGTAAGTTTCGTGGGGCTGGCACAGGACCGGGCGGTGTTTCATTCTGCTGTACATGAGGTCGCTATGAGTTGGATATGATTCGACAGCAGCAGACAACAACAACCTATACATAGTAGGGTCTCTATACTTACAGAATGAATATCATCAGCCTTGTGACTTTAAAACAGTTTGTATGAATTTTTAACACTTATAAGCCATGCTATAAATTCAACCAAGATGGGTCACATCAAGTTGTCATAAAAGATGCAAATCTTTAGACACGCGAGTTAGGGAAATAAAACTCCAGTGTAAAGTATATTAAATTAATGTCACTTATATTATTGAGTCAAATGACACAAAAATTTAAAAATTGTACTTACTTATTCTTATTGCCTGAAGTGACAGCCTCACTTTTAACACTTGGTATTATTATTGAATGTGTTCCAGACCCAACTAACATAGGCTGGTTTAAAAGACAAAAAAAAAAAAAAAAAAAAAAACTCAATGATTTTCTAGTTTAAAATTCCATGAAAAAAATATCATTAAAACTGATGAATGTTTATATAAATAAATATGCATGTAAATTCCTAATATATAAGACCTATGAAAATTGTCTCCTGAACAGAAACATATAGCACTGCAGGTTTCAGCAACCATTTTATTGTTTTTGGTTGCCAGGGTCAGCAATCATTAATAAGCCCAAATTAACACTTAGGGTAGTTTCCAAGGAGCCAAGAACAATTTAAATGTCACTCAGATCAAACTTCTACTTTAGTTAAATTAAAGACATACAATCAAAAATGAAAGAAAACTTTTATTGCAATTTATAAACTTCTGTCATCCTTCTCTAATACTTGTTTGCTCTCTCTTACTCTGGATTCCCTACTACTGAGACCCTGCCCACCTCCGCTCCACTATATACACAAGAGCCATGAAAAATTCATACTGAAACTTAAAAACAGTGCCCTAATTATCTCATTAAAATCAATATGCCAGATGAGGCAACCTGCTTCTGTTAAGATTTATAGCTTTGGAAGTCCTATGGGGCTGTTCTAATCTGTCCTTTGGGGTGTTAAGAGTAGGAATTGACTAGATGGCTATGGGTGGCAATTACCTCATTGGTTTGAAATGCAGCATCAAGTGAGAGGAAGGAAAGGGATCCCATCAATTCCAAGATTCTGCTATAGTAATTATTATTGATCATTTTATTTTGAATAGCTTAGATAAAAAAAAACATTTGAATAAAAGAAATAATTTTAACAAAAACTTCATGAATACTAGAAATTATTATTCTGCTTCCTTACCTCCCTGTAAAATTCAGTTTATTAACAGTAATAATAAAAACCAACCTAATTGCCATCCAGTTGATTCCAACTCACATGTTTCAGAGTAGATAAGCACAGTAACTTTATTAGTTATTAATAAAAGGTATCACTATTACTCTTATTATACAAGTAAGAACAGTAGGGTACAGCAAAGTCAAATAACTGGCCCAGTTAGTAACTGGTAGAATCAAGATATGAGCCCAGGTCTGATCCCAAAGCCCTCCTGGCTACTCTGCTCTATGACCACCCATATAGAATCCTACATTATGGTGATGTTTTCACATGACCAAAGTAGATGAGACGAGAATGGCCCAATTCTCGTTTCTAAGGAGCATTCCAGCTGCACTTCTTCCAGGATGGATTTGTTATTTCTTTTAGCAGTCCATGGTACTTTCAGCATCCTTCACCAACACCACAACCCAAAAGCATAAAAAATAAAAAGGCCAATAAAGAGTAAGTCTCTTTCAAGAGTTATTTATTTATTATATGAATCTTAAATTCCCTTAAAATGTAAAAGACTGCCAAACCATCTTTAGAGTAAAACCTAGAAATTCTTCCTGTACAAAATACTTCAAAACATTGGCTAATTCTAATACACACAATTAATATTTTGGTGAGTTGATATAATAATTAATACAGAAAATACTCCACACCTTTGGATCTTTTGGCTTCTTTTTCTTTCCTTTATTTTTCACCTTTGTAGTAATGTACTAAAATAGAAAAAAAGCAATTACCAATGAAAATTCAAACAACAGCATTTTGAGGTTCAATATAAATAAACCATTCTGATTTCCACAGACTAGTCATAAGCTAAATGCATCTAAAATGTTTTGACAAAAACAACATAATGTTTTACACCAAGTGTTTGGATTTATATTAGAAAATAAGAAAAAAATCTAATGATGCCTAATGTTTTAACTCAAATTGAACTGTTCCAACATTTTAAACTCATTTTCAGTAGGGTTTATGTATCTCAAGTAATTAATCAGACTTTTAAAGGATTTCGATTATACAATGATAGCGTTTTTGTAATATTCTTTTTACTAAGCATTCTGAATGTGGCCAGACACAGACCAGAAATACTGAATGTGGAAGACTATTTACCCCCCACAGAGCATGTCAGCTGTGCTTCTAAACTTATCAGGGTGATTTACGGTAGAGCAGAGTAAGAGAAAATGTCAACTGAGATGACTTGATCCTACAGGCAAACAAGCGACTTTCTCTTTGAAAAAACTGCCACAATGCCTTTCTTGTCTCGATTTAAACACTTTTCTAAAATGAAGAATTCCTGAACTGCCAGAAAGGATAAAGGCAACTGCAACCCACAAAGGAAAACACCTCTGGGATTGTTTTCACTTCAACTCAATTTGGAGTCACTCAAAAAATTAAGTCCTTTTGTTTGTTTTCCTTACAGAAACAACATTAACACTGCAATCACTGAAGGTAATTTTCATTTGTATGCCAGGAGATGATTCAAGAACTCTTCCTTGCTTATTTCTAATATTAACAGTTATTAGTTGTAAGAATTTATGGGCACTGTTCTAATTGAAGCCTCAGGACTGGTTGATTATTGCACCAATTCCAAGAAGATGACTTGGATTAAACTTTCTAATTAAACAGTGTACAGTATCCAGAAGTCCTCCAAATATGGCTCTGGAATGTGATGTACATAAACACTGGTATGGGTCCTCCTTTCTTCCCTTGGCATTTAACACAGCACTAAACTGATCAGATCACTTACCTGTGAGTCATCGTTGTCATGTTTCCTTAGCACAGTGCAGCTGCTGTCTGTAGGAAGATACGGAGGATTTTATGAGAAAACAAAATATTCACACAGCCATACACCAAAACCTTCAAGAAAACTACCCCAGATGCTACTAACATAGAGTATGTTCTACTCTTTATTTGGCTTCAACACAAGCTTAATTTAGAAACCAAGAAGGAATGGGAGGATGGGGAACTAAATGGGAAACCAACCACAGAGAACCATAAAATTTCAATCCAATTTAGCATAATTTGAGCATCATCTATGTCAAACTCTGTGGCAGGTGCCAGGAATACAGAGATGCATAAAACAGACTAAAGACAAACAGGCAAATAACTACAACCCTGGGTGCTACGTGCCAAGGTAACATAATAAAAAGGAAGGCAAAGGAGTAATAATGTCAAGGGGAGGAGGCCCAAGGAGGGGTTCGGGAGGAGAGGACATTTGAGTTTGATTTCAAATGAGCAAGCAAAGGAGTTGGCTGGATCTGAAGGAACTGCATGAGCAAATGCAGGAGGCAGGAAGCACAGGCAGGTCTGGGTGCAAGAAGAAGGAGAGTATATACCTAGAGGGCAGATGGTAGATAGTGATAATGAACCTGGAAAGATGATGTGAATTTATTGTTTGGGCAAAACTAAGCAAACATTTCTCCACTTTAGAGGATCAGACAGATATTCTAGAAAAACAAGTTACAGTAGCTACAGGAAGAAGATCTGGAGTGGGAGGATCTAGAGGCATGGAGACCAGTTTGGAGACTACTGTAATAGTCTAATCATGGAGAGAGAAATAAGGTTAGCCTAGAGTAGTCAGGATAGACAGAGGAGGACAGATCAAAGACAAAGCTTATTTGGATTGGTGACAAACTAGATAGATGCAGATCGGTGTATTAGGGAAAAGGAGGAATCAAGACTAATTCCAGGGTTTCCTACTAAAAACAAGATACACATAGATGCTATTAACTGAGATAAATTTAGGTAAAACAAGGCTCTGATAAGTGGGTTCAGCCACGCTGCACATTAAAAGTCTATTGGCTGCGGCACAGAAATGCCAATAGGGAAATAGGCACCCAGAGTTCAAAAGGGATATCAGGCTTCCAGTTATCATAGCACTGATGACACCTCTACTTATAAAATTGGTAGATTCTGAAAAATGTTAAAAAACAGAATCTTCCCTTTAAATGAAAAGATAAAATCGAAACATCTGGGGTGAAGGTGGAAGGTAGGGCTTAGAGGCACGCTACTGGACTTGAAAACCTGCAGGGCTGGCCAGTTATTTGGTTGGTGGCTTCCGACTCTATGACTAAGAGCAGAAAAACAGTCACAGCCGAGGGACTGTGTGTTTTAGGTATAGAGCACAAGTATCAGGCAGAATGCACACTCAGAGCAAACTGTGTCCTTTTTAGTTCTCCCGCTGTGTGATCCAAGCATGCATCAGGTTTTGTAAGCTCAGTCCCAGAACAGCATTTTATTACCAGCAGCCGCAAACTGATGGCAATAAAGTCAGGCTATCAGGTAGTGTGTCACCTTCCAGTCATGGAGCAGAATCCTGGAAAAATAAAGCCGTCTATAGTTCAGTGTGCTCGTTCCTAAGAACCACAACATTACTAAGCTTGCCACTGTCAGTCACTTATACTGCATTTGAAGTTTATAATGTGTGACGCTTTTGGAAAAGGCTGGCCCTTTTAATGTACCTTTTAAAACAAGGTAAACATCTAATTCCTGACAATATACAAAGCTTACTTCTGACACTGAGGAAAAGGAACAGGAGGAGGGATTATCATAAACAAATGTAGTACCAAATAAAATTAATTTAGGATCTAAGAATATTTGAATTTTGAGGATCATTTGGTCAAAATCTTCTCATTTTAATGATGAGAAAACTAAGATCAAAATACTCTTAAGGAATAAATGACTAGTTATTCAAGAAAGCCCTACAGAGTAGTTCTACTCGGTAACACATGGGGTTACCATGAATCAGAATTGACTCAATGGCCGGTTTGGGGCTTTTTTTTTTGTATCCTATTCTCGCTCAAACTGGACTCCATGCCGTTACTCAAACGTGCCCCATGATCGCCCTCCACCCGAGCTCTTTATACCTCGATATCCACCTGTCCAGTTGCACTCAATATTCACCACCCTTCTCAACCTCTATCTCTGCAGCAAGGCTCCCCTCTTCCACAGGGAGAACGCCAAGGGCATCGTCCTTTGACCCCTCAGCACTTTCTCTGGTCCTTTCCTGTTGGTTACTACCATACTACAGTTATTGGTGCATTCATCTTATTCCCTTTTCTAGAAACATAAGCTCCTTGTGGACTATCATAAGCTTTTCTGAATTCCTTGCTAACACTTAGCACAGGTCCTTGAAGGAGTAGGACTATAGGCAAAACTTTTACGGAATTGCATTAGGAACAATGCTGAACCACAGCCTACTTTTCCTGATTCCTAGTTCTATACTATTCCCACTATAACAGATGTAGTATCTGCTCTATATTCCGCAAACATTACCTCCTTCCAATGTTTGCCTGACTCCTAAAAATCAAACCATTTTTAATAAATGCCATCCATTTAATATGCAATCTTTGCCATAACTCTGTCAAACTATCTAAGATGGGAACAGTATGGTGTGTTATGTATTCATCTAAACATCTCTACAAAACTTAGTTTTACACAGTAAAACAAGCTTCACATCACTATTCTCAACCATTAACCTCCCCCAAATAAGGCAACTACAATATATTTTTTTGCTATTTTCTTTGTTAAGTGTTAAGCTAGGTTGGTCAAAAACTTTTTTCTATAACTAGGTAAAAATATATCTAAACTTGGTTCACGTACCTAAAATATCAAAGAATTCATCTAAAGCACTATGCAATGCTGGAAACTTCTCTCTGTGGTCTTCTAGAAGCCATATTAAGCAACGAGCTTCCTTCGAAGATGTTGGCTCACAGAAATATTCAAGTGTCTTTCCTTTTATAGAGGCTAGTTTCTGACCATATTTCTCATTCCAGAGATAACTTATGACAGTAAAATCAAGGTCCTTAAGAGATGCCTCATGACGAGAAAGAAAAGGTCCTGCAGCATTCAAGCCTATAATAAAAATCAAACCCAAATCAGAAGAGAACATTATTTACTGAAAAATCACATTCTGTTGCACAACTTTTATTTTTAGTGTGTTTTACATTCAACATTTTGTGTACATTTAGTTTCACTTCCCATTTACCATCCCCAACCCTAACCCACTCTCCTCCCCTCACTGCCCAGTAATCCCCCTCCCCGGTGCCCCTCATAGTTGTGCATTCCTGTGTGTCCTGCATTTCCTCCGTGCGAATGTTGCCCCTCTGTGCCCCGTGGTCATGGTCGATTGCTCCAAGGGATGCATTTCCATAGAGTATGCGGGTGTGTCACCCTGGGCTGAGTGGTCTGCATGTACATTTTGTTTACTATTGGGCTGAGAGCCAGCCCCTGGAAGTGAGTTTTATTCCAGGACCAGAATGTATCCCAGGGCCAAAATATTGGGGGTCTCACCAGACTGCATCCGACCAGTAATTCTGGTGACTATTGAGTTTTTGGGTTTTATTCCACGTTTTTCCTCCCACTCTGTCCAGTATCTCCAGATTTGATCCTTTCCTGAATGAGTGGCATTGGTAGCCAGGCACCATCTAGTTCTGGTCTCGAGGGCCATCGTGTCCTCCAAATGCCCTTGTTTTTTTTGCACTCTTCTTCACTTCCGATGATAGGAGACCATTAGCTGCATCTTAGATGGTCGCTTGAAAGCTTTTAAGACCCCAGTCACTAGTCACTAAGGTCGGATGAGGAACAAGACTTTTATGTATTCTATTGTGCCAGTTGGGTCTGGTGTCCCCCAGTACTATGGTCCTGAGTCAGTAGATCCATTGGATCTCTCTCCCACAGTGCCTGGCTGTCTTGAGGGATTACTCTATGTCTGTCTTCTGTTGTTTCTGTAAGGGTTGAGGGTATTTTGTATCACTGGCATCTGTGTTGCACAACTTTTAAAAGCAGTTCCATTATAGGTGGCTTACATTTTCAAGAAAACATTTAAACCCTTGGGAAAAAAGCTGGTCAAGCTATTATGCATTCTATAAACACTATTTAACACTGATATGGTAATTACAATGAGTCTTATCTAATAATTAAATAAGGCTACCATTTGACTGCTAATCAGAAGGCTGGCAGTTCAAACCCACCAGCTACTCCTTGGAAGGAAGGTTGGGCAATCTACTACCATATTGATATTGCCTCGGGAACCTACGGAGGAGAGGTTGCTATGAGTCAGATCCAACTTGACAGCAGTGACTTTGTTTTTTTTATTTTGGTTTAAAGAAAACAAAAGTCCTCAAAATTGGACGAATGAGCAACATTGTGACAAATGGAGAAAAGACTGAAGTTGTCAAGGATTTAATTTTATTTGGATCCACAATCAATGTCCATGAAAGCAGCAGTCAAGAAATCAAAAGAATATTGCACTGGGCAAGTCTGCTGCAAAAGACCTATTTAAAGTGTTAAAGAGTAAAGATGCCACTTTGAAGATTAAGTTGAGCCTGACCCAAGCCATGGTATTTTCAATCACCTCATATGCATGTGAGAGCTGGACAATGAGTAAGAAAGACTGCAGAAGAACTGATGCATTAGAATTGGGGCATTGGTGAAGAATGCTGAGAACACCACGGATTGCCAGAAGAACGAAAAAATGTTTTGGAAGAACAGCTGAAATGCACCTTAAGAAGTAAGAATGGCCAGACTTCATCTCACCTACTGTGGTCCTGTTGTCAGAAGGGACCATTCCCTGGAGAAGGGTATCATGTTGGTAAAGTAGAGGGTTAGCAAAAAGGGAAAGACCCTTAGCAAGATGGATTGACACAGTGGCTGCAATAACGGGTTCAAGCATAGCAAAGGATGGTGCAGGACTGGGCAGTGTTTTGTTCTGCTCTACAGTGCCACCATGAGTCAAAAACAACTCAATAGCACTTAATAACCACCACAACCACTATAGTTATTTTTATTAGACTTAGGAGATGAAAGTAGTGTGTTAAATTCCTTTAGTAATGCTGTTAGTTGACAATGAGTTGATTCTGACTCAAGGTAATCTCATGTGTTACAGAGTAGAAATTGTTCTATGGGTTTTTTTGTAATATTAATGGAAGCAGATTGCCAGGTCTTTCCTTCCAGAATACCACTGGGTAGGTTCAAACCACCAACCTTTAGGTTACCAGCTGAGTACAAACCATTTGCACCACCTAGGGATCTCCTTTAAAAATACTCTGTACAGTAACTTTACCCCTGATTCCTAGTGACTCTAACTCCAATTAGTACAAACTAGGAAAAGTTTACAATGTTTTCTACATATCTTCCACAGTATGAAAACATGTAAATGCCTTAAAGACAAGCCATTAAAATAGGACACGGGCGGAGGACTTCCGGTAAGATGGAGGAACAGGCAGATAAGCAACACAGACCCTCTTCAACAAAGAAAAGAAAAACCAATTGACAGAGATACAGAGGATAATCCTGGAACCCTGAGCTTTGCAAGGAACTATACAGAAGTGGATTAGGCACCAAGTAGTGGAAAAACCTGAACAAGAACAATGAGTACAGAGATGGTCAGAGCTGCAGACTGTCAGCTACCCTGATGGGACCAACAGCTTGAATATTTCCAAGTGGTGCTGGGACCTGAAACTTGACCTAAAGATTAGTCCTGGTCACCAAGGGCTGCAGAGACAACTGTGCTGGTGGCCTATGACTAGGAAGGAAAACAGCAAGGAGGGAGACAACCTGAGCTGTTGACTTTCCACTGTCCACAGGGCGTAGCCATTTTGATAGTCTACACATGGCAGCCATTTTGGATATTTAAAGTGACTGAGGGTGCAGCCATTTTGAATCTTTACAAGTGGCAACCATTTTGGATTTTAAAGTGATAGCATTCTCATTTGGATTCCAGGAACCTAGGAATAGGCTGTTTGCTAAGGTCTGCAGGGACATACAAGAGGCTGATAACAGGAAAGGAGACAGGTGGTGAGTGTATAAGTGCTGTCAGCTAGTGAACAGAGGAGCACAGCACAGTACCTGTTTGTGTAGATAACATACAAACAAAACAAAAAAAGGGGGCAAGTCAGTCCAACATATAATCACTAATTAAATATAAACACAAAAGCGTCATAATGCCTTGGAGACAACAGAATATCACAGTCCACACAAAGAAGCAAGATAAAGAAGGAGAAACAAAGGACCAGGATATAGACCTAAAACATATCCCTGAGGAAGATGCAGCATTGGAACTCCATGATAAGGAATTCAAAAGAATTATATTTAGGTATTGTCAACGAATTGAGAGACAGATCAAGGAAAACACAGAGAAAACCCTAGAAAGATTTTGAAAGATAATACAAGACCAAAATGACAAAATAAATGAAAAATTAGAAATGATGCAAAGTCTACAGACAGAAATCCAGAAGATTAATGCTAAATTTTCAGAAATCGATAAGACATTGAATGGCCAAAGGAGCAGAATTGAATCAATGGAAGGCAGAATTGGTGAGATTGAAGGCAAATACCTGAACACTTCTTTGGTAAGGGATCAATCAGAAAAAAAAGATCAAGACAAAATGAAGAAAGCCTAAGGTTCATGTGGGATACCATCAAAAGGAATAACCTACATGTAATCAGAATTCCAGAACAGGAAGAGACAAATAAAACCATAGAGAAAATTGCTGAAGATCTCTTGGAAGAGAACTTCCCTGATATGATGAAAGATGAGAATATATCCATTCAGAAAGCCCAACAAACCCAAAACAGGATAGACCCCAAAAGAAAATCACCAAAACATGTCATCATCAAACTCTCCAAAACCAAAGACAGAGAAAGAATCATGAGAGCAGCATGGGAAAAACGAAAAGTTACTTACAAGGGGCAACCAATAAGACTAAACTTGGATTTCTCAGAAGAAACAATGTGGCAAGAAGACAGTGGGATGGTATATATAAAACCCTGAAAGAGAAAAATTTCCAACCAAGAATTATATACCCAGCAAAATTGTCCCTCAAATATGATGGTGAAA